TTCTCTATCTTGTTGCTATCAAAAGTTATTCAAAAAATACTCACGAGCATTCATGTTCATGCTACCAGCACATATGCGAAAGAAACAGATCTTATCGAAATTTTATTATTATAATATTAGTTGAATAGTGATCAAATAGCATACAAAAATAGAGCGAAAGACGCTCTATCTGTTCATAGAAAAAGAAATTTTTTTGAAGCTTTCTATCAGAAAATAAAGTACCTCCCTCACTACTTTTGGATTGCCCTAAGTATGTTTACAGACATCACAACCTAACATAGCCGACCCAGTGAAGTTGACTTATTGATCACTAGTCAGACACAACTAGATAGACATGATGACTCAGCCTTACCCGATCCAGAGGTGTAGCGAGTATATGTTACCTACAGATATGACGACTCAACGTAACCTAACCCGATCCAACGATGTAGAACTGTTGATCAGTTGTGAGACACTGTCAGACACACATGACTACTCAACCTAGCCTAACCCGACACAGAGATGCAGGATTGTTTATCACTAGCCAAACACGACTAGATAGACATGACGACTCAACCTAACTCCACCCAGAAATGTAGTGATATAATGTTAACTACAGGCATGACGACTCAACCTGACCGAACATGAGCTGGAGATGTAGAATGATTGAACATAGTCAGATAAGCACCACATGCAATAAGTAAAGCGCAGTTGACAGTACGTGAGTTTTATCAAACACCTAAGGAATTACCATTTGCCAGCTTGTCCGCCTTTTAGTCTGGTTTCATTGGCGAGGATAGTACGATGAACATATTGCACGATGTAGTTCACCAAATTCAGAAAGGAATGGAGGATCACAAGATCATGAAGGCCGTTTTCCTTGATTTCAGAAGGCGTTGATAGTGTCCGTCACGAAGGATTGTTGACGTAAATACGGAAAAAAGGTATAAAACGTAAAGAGTTGAAGTGGATCTAAAACTATCGTTGGAACCTCACAATTCAAACGCAGTTAGTGGGTCGTGTATCGTTGCCTTTTAAAAGTCACAAAAGGTATCCCACAAGGCTCGGTTCTTGGGTCCTTGTTAGTTCTTATATATATAGATGATTTACCGTTCGAGACTGAAAGTACAAAAACATTGCTTCTCGATGATGTGATATTAATAAACCATCAGCCAGTTCCACAAAGTCAAGAAAAAAGTGCGCTTATCACTCTCATTACTTGGGAACCGTAAGATACCAACGCTAGAAACGAAGTGTTAGGATTTTTTTTTCATTAAATGCCTCAGTTTTCTCCAAAATAGATTTGAATTTCATTATAATCGATAAGTTTTCTGTATGATGGAGCCCAGCAAGTGGACGTTGGATAGTCTAAATGAAAATCGCTTATACAATCGTTTCGCTAGCTCTCAGCATTTTTTGTGGAATTATATAATTTGTATTCCACATAAACGTATTAACAGCACTGTTTTTAGATTTAATTCATTGAGTAACAATAGTTATGAAAAGATTTACTGGAAAAGTTGCTTTTGTCACTGGTGGTGCATCAGGATTAGGCAAAGCTATTGCTGAACGTCTTTCAGATGAAGCTGCATTTGTGGCAATAGCTGATATAAATGAAATAGACGGACAATCAATAGCTGATGCTATTAATGGAATTTTTATTAAAATGGATGTATCCAAACCAGAATCAGTTAAAGTTGCCATTGAAAGTGTTGTTAGTCGGCATGGGGCAGATAGCAAAATTGATATTATTATTAATAATGCTGGTATATTATGGAAAGTTCAATACATGACTGTTCATTAGATTCTTGGCATGAAATTATTGATGTCAATTTAAATGGAGCGTTCTACGTACTAAAATATGGTTTAAACCACCTTGTTAAACAACAAAAGCAATCAGGTGGTGGAGTTATTATTAATACCACATCTGTAGCGGGTATTAAGCCAGCAATGGTTCCACCATATAATTGTTCAAAAGCTGCATTAATTAGTTTAACAAAAGAAGCGGCTAGAGAATATGGTAAATACCATATAAGAGTTAATGGCATTGCTCCTACAGCTGTATTAACACCAATGATAGAAAAATATATTGAAGATATATTGAGACTTTAGATTTATCGATTTTCCGAAGATTGAAAATTGTTCGGATCCGAACCAGTTGTGTAAAAGAATTGAATGTTGTAATCCAATACCGGGTTGGCCAACGCCACAAGATATAGCAGCAGCCGTTGCCTTTTATCAAGTGATGATGCGAAATTTATTTCTGGTGTTATCTTGCCAGTTGATGGTGGCTATTTAACGCAGTAACAAAATAGTCAAAAATTGTGTACTCATTGATATATAAATAATAAACTAACTTGTCGCACTATACTATTTTTTCCTGCATGAATGATAGTTTTATTTAATTTCGATATCACTACTAGTAATACTTTGTATATTCCAAAAGACAAATAAATAAAATGCTATAAAAACCTGAATATTCGCAATGTTCGCAATGTTGTCGATGTAGTGCATAAGCCTAATGGAGACAAAAGTTCAACAGAATAAAGACAAAGTTTGTCTGAATTTACTATAAGAACAAAAGCAAAAGCTGATGTAAGATGCAATTTAAATGTTTCTTACAAGGGAGAGGTACCTGAACTGTTAATCGCCGATTGAGCTGATATTTTGTCCATAAGTAAGACCCTATGAGACTAATTAGACCCCTAAAAGGATTCGTCGCATACTCATCAGAATGCCCTAAAAATTCCGGCCAAAAAGAATGTTTTCTTCTCGAGATATTGAATGTCTGAAAAACGATCATATGTCAACAGAAAAAGTCAGAAATCGAGTTTCTCCTAAATCGAGTACTCCTCCTCATTAGTAACTGTTCAAACCGACATTTTTTAAACAAAAAAAATTTTCTAATCTACGTGTTTAATGATCCAGTTTGTATGTTTTAGAATCAGAGTTTTGCGCTTGGACTCGCTTTGTATAAAATGAAATTCACTAAAATATTAAAATATATTTTCCTATTCAATAACATTTTATTCGTAAGGCGCCAGTAATTCAAAATTCAAGTGAATTATATTTTTCTTAAAAGCACATTATTCGATGCAGTTTCAGCTGGTGATCACGAATCTGATCTTCGTTTTTCGTTTTTTGACCGAGTTTTCAGGGAGAAAAACGCCAAAAACTGTGAATACCTCAAAAACGCCAAAAAACTGACTTTTTAGAAAATCACGATTATCTCCTCACGACTTAGCTTTCTGATCTCACCAATGTGATCTTCGGATTCTCCGACTAAAATTGAGTCTCGTTATGTGGTCTAGCTCATAATAGTAAATATCGTACAGGCTATAGAAATTCAAAGATCAGTGGTCAGATCATCAGAAACTCATCCGGGCGGGAAAGAACTCACTCCCATGCTATCACTTCACCCCTCCTATACGATCCTCATGAAAAAGATCAACGCTTACATAGATGCGTGACAGTACGACCAAGAAAATCTCCAAAAAACTCGGTTGTCTTTCATAGCGGGTAGTTTTCTAACTACAGAAAATACTGAGAAAAAACTTTTCATATTGCGCTGAACTTCGCTCAATGCTCATTCTCTCGTTTATGCTAAAATACCTAAATCCAATAGGTTTTTGGAGATAAACAAGCTTAGGTTGGTGGTTTTTTTCTAAACTCCTTGTTATCGTCAGTATTTTTCTATTAGAACATTTTAAAAGTGAATCAACATCTTGAAGACAATCGAGTAAATTATTTCTATTTGAACTACGTTCATTAGTAGAATTGTTAGAATTAAAGATATTTTTTACTGGTGAACCAAAAGAAATAAGATCGTTTGTGAATGAGTCATTTATAACAGATGTGAAAGTGACACCTGCTGTAGTAGAATTTGGTGATGACAGACCAACTATAGAATTAGAAACAACATGGTCTGTTAACTTTTCAACAAGTGGAATTACGTCGCTATCAATAAGGTCAGCCGTATCATCTTTTCGATCCACAACTGTACCATCTATATCAGCCGCTGGTGTTGAAAAATCATCCTCGTCATCAACGTTATTTTGATCAACAAGTTTTCAAAATTCAGAATCCGAGCGAGGTGGCTGACCAAACATGACTTCATATGGTGTTTTCTTTGTAACGCACGAAACTCTTGTATTAATTGCATAGACCACACGTAAAAGACTTTCTGACCAGTGAATGGAGTTGTTGTTGGTGTCAACCATTTTCCATGAGCATCACAAAGTACAGCATTTGCTCGTTCGATACAACCTTGACTTTGAGGATGGCGAGGACGTCCTCGTATAAAACAAAGATCAGGAAACAATTGTTTTAATTCAATTAGAACGCTAGTAACAAACTCCTTTCCATGATCACTATGAACCAATCGTGGCGGACCAACAACAAAAAAAATTCTCTTAATTTAAGAGAAACATCCACAACCGATTTATTTTTCAACGGAAAAGCCCAGCAAAATTTACTAAAGTGATCGATACAATTTACGATCCAATTAAAAACAACATATGATTCAATTTTATCTGGTCTAGTACGCATGTCAACTAAATCGATTTGTGACCGTGTCATGACACCTAAGGATATCATTGGTTTGGACACTACATGTTGTTTGATTGGTTTTCTAACTTGGCAAGGTGTACAATATTTTTAAAAAAATTCAATAGCTGGACGAGGAACCCACGAATAATGAGAATTCACCTCACAAAGAGTTTTATCGCGACCATGAGAAACCGAGACATGACATTCGCTTATTACACTGAAGAAAGATTCATTACAGACAGGTTTTTTTGTTTTTACACAACATGCAATATCAATACCCACTATTTTCAACAATAAAAGATTTTGTTTCGCCTAGAAAACAAATTTTGGAGAAAATGAACCAGATGTCTTATCTTTTTGTAATAATAATGCTTGCGCAATATCCTCACAAACTTTCTTCTTTATTACACTTTTTTCTCGAAATTCAACACTTAATGAATCTATATATTTATCAAGATCACTACAAAAGAGTTTTTCACTATCATTAGGTTGAATACCCTAGTGAAAGTACTCATCCGATGAGTACGACTTTACTCATAATTCGTCCATGAGTATTCATATTGGTACTACTAACAATTTCTGAGTATTGTTACTCAGTGAGTACTCAGGAAATATTCATTCACCATTTTATTTTGCTAAACTGAAACTGTATAAAGAATGTAGAATTTAGTGAAGAAACACA